GGGAGGCTACTTTGATCAGAACCTGGAACTTAGATGAAGTTTTCCTCTGCTGCTGCCAATGGAGTGGAGACTTTGGGCCCAGGCTTGCTTGCTTTTCTTTCTTTCTTTCTTTCTTTCTTTCTTTCGCTATGTCTAGACAGCAGGCTTCTTTCGAAAGAGAAATCAGCAGGGCTCCTGGGATCTGAGAATCCTAATGAAAATGGATTATTTGAATATTTAGAATCAGGTGGGCATACCCTATATAATCAATTTCCTGCAATTGCAAGGACCCCTGAGTCTCTGGTAGACCTTAGTCTTTCTAGTTGTCTCCATAAAGTCTGTTCTCCTTTTGGTATGTGAGTTTCTCCTGTAAGCATAAAAAGTATGAGGCTCCCTGACAGTAATACAGACACATCTGCTAGTGCCAGCAAGAGTCTTTTCAGGCTTCTGATGAATTCAAATGTGTATTGTTTGCCCTGGATTCTACCTAAAACTTCACAGCTGCCCATAACATGCTGCTGCGTTAGGGACAACACCCACCAGAACCAAAAGAAATGACAGCAAATACACAGAGAATTTTATAAAACAGTAACCTAAGTTAGTTGTAAAAAAACATGTATGCTTTCAGGAAGAGAAATCCAGCTCAGAGGACCAGTTCCTAAGAGCTGTGCAAGTACAGGACCTGTATGTTCTGTTATGGGTAAATTCTTACATGCCTCAAAATGGCTCTTCGACACATTTCGAATTTCAAACAAGAACAAACAAAGCTGGTACAAAGTTGATGCCACTGAAATTGAATTGGAGGCTACTCTGGAATTCCAGGAACCTGATTCTGATCTTGCACATGCTAGTGTAAATTCTGGAGTCACCCATTTACAAACAGTGGAGTTGCACTGCTGTAAAATCAGTGGATGGGGGATTAGAAACTGACCATGCATGTTCAGAACTAAATAACAGTGGATTTGTTTCTCTGAATTCCTCATAGTGAGTGACAATGGGGAGAAAAAAAGCATGAGTATTTTTCTTACCTGGTAAGATGTAGGTATTATAGATGTATATAATCCACACCTTGACAGTTGAGCAATGACTTCAACCTTTTTCTTTAAATATATTTTTATAGATCTACATTGTTTATGATGGTGTTGAAGCCATGTCTCACTCTAAGGCCTTGGCTTCCTCACACTTTGTTCATCACTGTTGCTGACATTTGAGATAGTTTATCACTTTGTTTTCCTGGGGGCCTTTCTGTTGAAGTGGTGGGAGACACGAGTGCCTGTTTGTCCCTAAATCTGCAAGTTCATTTCAAAACTGGCCTGCAATTGCATGAATCATAAAAATAACTTTTATTTGAAAAGCACCTTACCAACCAACTGCAATGCTCTGTAGTTCCTTCACTGACTTCCCTTTCCTCTTCCCGTTCTTCTTCTCTCTTTCAGCCCTTTCTATCATATTCTTTTTCAGTGCTTGGTGGTGTATGCGTGTGTGCTCACTGTTCTTGTATTCAATAAAAGTGAAATAAATGTGTTTGATGCTCAACCAGCTTGTGGCCTGAAACTGACTTTTCTCTATCTGGACAGTGGAAAATTAGAGAAAGAGCATTAGGGCTAGGTATTTTACAGGAGTATGTCTGGAGGCAGCATTGAATGAGAGCAAGAGAGATTGTACCTTTCCTAGTTAGCCTTGGAGCAGGACTGGGCAGAATGAGGATAATTCCATTGTCCATTTAATGCAGAGATTAAATGGATGGTCCCAATTTTCTTCCAAGTCTTCACCCAGAAAAAATAAGCACCATCCACACATGGCACCAAATGAGATGCTACTCTCATTACATTCTACACATGTGCAAAATATGAAGGTGCATGCTCTCTGAGCTCTTGTGGTGTCTTTAATATGTCCATGTTTTTTGTCAAGCTTCTTGGGTCAGGCTCCTACTTGATTGGGTTAGAAGGGATGCTGTGGGAGTTCTCTCTCAAATACCAGCCATTTGTGGCATCAAAATGAGACAGTACTGTAAGCTATGTGGATCTGTGACCTCCCCCCCCCCCTTCTTTGTTACATGAATAAAATAATTTTCTGAAAGCAGAGATTCTGGAGAATGAGATAGCAGTTTCAAGAGAAGTGCCAGTACACCAAACCATTGTGTAGCGAGCAACAGAAACCAGGCTTTGAGCTGGGAACAAGCTGGAACCAAGAGGCAGGAATAGGTGAAAGTAGTTAGACTGAAACTTTGAGAGGAAGATGGATAAAATGGCCTTCCATTTGGGAATCAGGAATGGGCTAGAAGGCAAATCCTGTCCTTGAAGGGTTGTTTTGTAGAAGGATTAAGTTATGTCTTTATTTCTTCCCTGGACAAGATTGAAGAGCATGAAAGGAAGCCATTAGTGGATTTCTACTAGTCAAGGACATGCAATTATTAACAATATTTGTGTTGAAACACTATTTTGGAGATGATTTCATGCTCTGGATTTATGTTTAATGATGTGAATGTGACCCGCACAGACTAGTATCGGGCTAGCAATCAACGTTCTTAACATATGCTTTCTAATGGCCCAGATCTAACTTTACAAGCTACGATCTTTGTTCAAAGTAGCTCTACATGTGCATTCTGTTCCTGCTTGCACCCTGTGCACAGTTTAAAAAAAGAATTTCCCTCAGTGATACCGAACACCACTGCGTGCCAGTATAAAGGGCCCAGCTGCCCTCAGACTCCCTCAGGGTATGTCTACACTACCACCCTAGTTCGAACTAGGGTGGTTAATGTAGGCAACTGCAAATGAAGTTGCAAATGAAGCCCAGGAATTGAATTTCCCGGGCTTCATTTGCATATTGCCGGGCGCCACCATTTTTAAATGTCCGCTAGATTGGACTCCGTGCCCGCGGCTACATGCAGCACAAACTAGGTAGTTCGGATTAGGCTTCCTATTCCGAACTACCGGTACACCTCGTTCCTTCATGCTGCCCATGATGCAGTTGGCCAAGTCTGATGCTTTTGGAGCAAACTGACTCCAAGATCCATTGCCTGACTATCTCTAGGGCAAATCTAAAGTGCTCTGCGATATACATTCCAGTGGCATCTAGAACATACTTCCACCCACAACAGACCAACTGTTACTCTGCCCTGCTTATCAGTACCTGCACAGAAAGAAAAGTAGAGATTACAAAGGTAGACCTTCTCCTTCTGCATCAATGCTTGCTCCATCTACACAGCCATAGGTGCGAAACCCGTCTTTGGATGGGTTGCCAGGATTACAGAGATCATGTGTTCCCATATTTGCAAACCAACTTTCCTACGTCCTCGGTGCTTGGTCCAGATTACCTCAGATCAGTCGGGATGTCAAAGGGTTGTCGATTAGTTGAGTGACTACTCGCGTTCTCCCCTTCCCCTTGCTGCCTGGCTCTGTCTACACTGGCATGAATTTCCGGAAATGCTTAAAACGGAATACTACTCTGTTTTCAGTTTTTCCGGAAAAGGAGTGTCTACATTGGCAGGTTGCTTTTCTGGAAAAGACCTTTTTCCGGAAAAGTGTCTGTGGCCAATGTAGACGCGCTTTTCCGGAAAAGAGCCCCGATCGCCATTTTCACGATCGGGGCTTTTTTCTGGAAAAGACTACTGGGCTGTCTACACTGGCCCTTTTCCGGAACAGTGTTCTGGAATAAGGACTTATGCCCAAGCGGGAGCAGCGTAGCTTTTCCGGAATAGCAGCTGATTTTGTACAGTAGAGCATCGTTGCTTTTCCGGAAATTCAAGGGCCAGTGTAGACAGCTCGCAGCTTAGTCCGGAAAAGCGGCTGGTTTTCCGGAATAAGTGGCCCAGGGTAGAC